TTCATTCGAGAATTGAGCCAAAGCAATTGAGAAAAACTGTAATATATATACTACACTGCCATTCAAAAATTTGGGATCAGTAAGATTTGTAAAGTTTTTTTTAAAGAAGTTTAATCAAGGCTGCGTTTATTTGATTAAAAATACAGAAAAAAAATGTAATATTGTGAAATTCTATTACAATGTAAAATAACGTTTTTCTGTTTTAATATACATTAAAATCAAATTGATTCTTGTGATCAAAGCTTAATTTTCAGCTTTATTACTCCAGTATTCAGTGTCACATGATCCTTCAGAAATCATTCTAATATGCTGATTTATTATATATTAATATTAATTAATTATATATTAGTTTTTAAATATTCTTTCTTTCGGTATTTTATATGTATCTACCTATATACATGATATATTAATTTGTCTTGCAGACAGTAAATGTCATATTATTCCTTTTAAAAAGTCAACTCTGCTGAGAATTATTGTATTTGCAGCTCAACTAAATGCTCAATCTCCATCATTGATAGTGTTCAGCACTAGTTGTTCCACCCATCAGTAAAGAGGCCCACATGATCTGTAATTATGTTTTCACAGCGCCATTGATGGGTTGATCGATACCCATGAGGTCTACCTGGGATACAGGTTCAGTGACGGCACGTCTGTGTGCCGATGGAGCGTCACGCTCACGCCTCCCTCGCCCTTGTTATTAATAGCGTCATGAATATTTGGAATAAATGTGTGAATCAAGCTAAATTGCAAGTCGTTGTTTTTTGCCGCCTCCCATCATGATACGCCCACTCCTGAGTTCATTAAGTCTCTGTTAAGTCACCCTGTGTACTTGGAGCCGCGAGAGGCCTCCTGATCCCACACAATATTGGGGTCGGTAGATTCATTAAAGTTATAGTGAGAGAAGGCCTCTGTGTAGTGTTTGCTGTCATGGGAATCTCTCCTTTTGAATTAAAGTAGTTCCATCCTGCCTGTTCAGCGCCGCTAGATTTGTCTTCATCAAAAAACAGCCTTACTGCAAAACAATGCTTGGTTCATTCAGCTGATTTTTTTTATTTTTTATTTCATGTGCAATAGCTTTATATCTTTATGCATGAATGATAGCAGAAATAGTGTTGTTTTTTGAGGAGAGGTGTGTTATAGTGAGCTCTTTTGTATTGTAAACTTCAAAACCTGCTGTTTTGTTTTCTTTTAGCACATTTAGGAGACCTTTTCATGAGCTGTTTTGATGCAAAAGTGCATTTTAGTGTTTATTGGTGCTGACTCTTTGCCCTTGTGCACAAAGGTTCTCAGCATAGCATGCCAGCAAGACGCTTCCCTACAGAGAAGCACACGCTCACACTGTTTATAAAGCGTCTTCAGAGACAGCCAGCTGTGCTCAGAGGCCCAGGGCCTGGGTGATCTGCTGGGCTGGAAGGCTTCAGCCACAGCTGGTTGTGTTAAGAGAGTCTACACTCGCCTCTCATCATCAGAACGGCAGAATATATAGAGCTGCAGCAACCAGCTGAGACCATCACTATTGACCCTTCAGCAAAGCAGCCCCGCTCACACAAACACACTCATTCATAGCTCACTGGAGCGTCTGAACAACTGTCCGCTCCGCAGAGTTCTGCCCGCAGCGCGAGACCTGTGCGTCCAATTACTTGAATGAATAAAAAAGGGTCTTAATACTAATTAGGGTAATAGCCAGACTGAACAGCTGATGTTTGTGGTCAGCTGGTCTTTTTAAACACTCTGGGGGGAATTTGCTAAGAATGAATTGTGTCCGCGGAGGCATGGTTTATTTTAGATTTTGGTTTAGATTTGATTAGCTAAAATGATCAAGGAATGGCATAACAAGGCCAGCTATGGTTTTGTGCAGGATGCAACAGCCCGCCTTTTAATATTACAGACTTTTTATCAATTTTTCGAATGTGCTTTTATGTGTATATTTTTATCTTCATTTTAGTTCAAGTTATAAGTGATTTTGTGGTGCTTTTTCATTTTTATTAGTTTTTGCTTTTTTAATATTTCTATTTAGCTTGAATTTATATTTCTTTCAGTTTTACTTTAGAAATTGTAGTACTTCAGCTTGAACTTATTTCTTACATAACTTGTATAACTTATTTTCAAATTTTATTTTAATTTATTTGAATTAATTTAATTTTAGTTTAAATGTGAGTAATTCTATTATGTGCTTTTATCATTTCTTAGTTTAATATTTTTCTATTTAGCTTCATTGTTTTGTTTTATTTGAGTAATTTTAGTACTTATTTATTTGAAACTTATTTTATATGCTATTTGATAGCATAAAGTTTGATTATTTTATATGCATAAATATTGTTGTTTTATATTTTACTTATTTTATATGCTATATATAAGCTTAATTTATATACTAGTTTTTTAATATCTGATTCATTAAAATGATCAAGCAATGGTGCAAACAAGGCCAGCAGTGATTTAAATGCTAGGTTGTGGAGGTTGCAGCAGACTGTCTGCATGAATGCACTGCATGCATGACTGCACGAACCTTTGAGACAAAACATGAGCTTGCTGACATTTTTATGATGGATTGTTGTGATTCTGCTGTCACCTGTGCTGATTTATGATCACAGCGTCACGTACATAAACCTGTTCTTTATGTGGCAGAGTGTCAAAACATGCAGTAATGACACTCTGTCAAAGTTCAGCATGCTTGTTGGTGATATAGTTGAACACACACACATACACACATACACACATACACATTATTTTAACCATTTTTTTTTTTTTTTTAGGTCTCCCTAAGATGATGGTCATCCGTAATTACTATGGGGTTCCAAGCCCCCTCTGTGGCCCACCGCTCAACATCCAGGTTGGTGATGTCATCGAGGTGATAGAGGCAAACGTCCGTAGCTGTTGGTGGAAGGTGAGACAGTTTTACATCTTAAACTCGCTCCTCATAAACATTTCAAGTCATACAGCCCTGCAGGGATAACGCTAGCTAATTGATTGCCTCTCGTGTTTGTGGCAAAGGCCGAGGGGCTGTGTTGTTATGCTTTGCTAAGCGTGACTCGCTGTGAAATGCTAACTAATCCAACCCTTTGTCAACACAAGAAAGCTGTTGAAAGTTAGGTTTCATAGCCATACAAAAACAACACGGACCAGCACAACACCCAGAGAGCAGACACGCGCTTGACGACAGATTTTATTTGTCACATTGTCATTTGATAGGAGGTGTTGGTGCACATGCAGTTCTCTGGCATGAGCCACACTAAAGAAAATCACAGAAATAGATTCAGAGTAATGAATAAGTACAATGCTAATAATTTTCCTGTAAACCTCAACATATAAGTGTCTTTTTGTCCTACTGTGCTCCTAAACCTTTAGCAGATATATGCATTTAGTTTACAGTTTACAGTCTTTCTCTGCCTGGAAAACTAACCAAAATAGTTTTTTTTTTTTTTGGTTCAATCAGTTGCTGTCTAGAATGAGTTGTGGCTGTGACATAAAGTATAAACCAGTATTTATTAACATCTTTAAATTATATTATATTAAATTTTTATATATATCTATATAATACATATACATTTTATTTATATAATTATATTTATTTATATTTATTCTAGCTTTAAATTATAATTATTATATTTATTTATCACCGTTTCTAATTTTCTTTTAATTATTTTAATTTTAATTTTTTAATTGAACATATTTGATTTGATTTCAGATTTATTTCAATGAATGAAAATGATACAAATTTTAATAGTTTAACAATTATAACACAAAACTAAAGCATATAAATTAATAATTAAAAAAGGACAAACTTTCTTTTGATAGAAATGGTCAAAACACTCTGAATTTGAACGCTTGTGATAAAAAGACTAGTAAGTCTCCAGTGTCACACACTATGCACAGATTTACAAAAACAAACTAAATTAATTGAGCACGTCCAATCAAATTCTACAAATAATTTCATCTTTGTCTCATTTGTACGAGTCAACATTTAATACTCTTAAGGAGGCACGCCTGAGACAAAGTTGAAACAATTGAGTGATTATGTTTCTTGAACTATGAAAAGTGCAACTTTTGAGCAATCAAATGTTCTTCTGGGATGGGACACAAAAGCCAATGCAGTCCATCTTGATGCCCACTCTTCTTGCTCTGGTTATTTACATGCCAAGGCTATGAGGAAACCAGCCAATGATTGTCCAGAGAGCCAGAGAATTGGCAGAGCCTGGCACACACTCAAATGCCCCTACATCCCTCTCCATCATACGAGTCCAGCTGTCCAGGATGCTTCTCCACAGCCCTGTTTTAACATGTTAATCTCGTTCTGCCTCATTTCTAAGACCGCCGTCCGCTGCAGGCTCCGAACGCCCAGCTGTCCCATGCACCCAGAAGTTGATTTATTCAATTTGAACTCATGCAAAATTACACCGCCCGTGTCACCTGAGACCTCATAATATCCAGCATCCCGCGGCAGCTCCGGACGGAGCAAAGGACGATCAGAGCCCTCGTAGCCCTGATAACCCGGAGACAATTATTGCCGCTCTGGTGCCTAGACAAACGCAATCACTCACTGTAATTTCATTTGGGCCTTTGGTTGCCATCTGTTTGATCTAACAGGGTTATGAGTTTAATCATTATTAGGCCCTTATCTGAGCAACAACCAATAGCGGGGCGGCATCGTGAGTGCTGATAAAATGTCAATGCACTAAATGCATTGGGGCTGGAGGTGGGAGGGTATGCTTAAGGATCCACTTACAAATTAAATTTGTTTAAGGAAAAGGTAGATGAGACAGAAATGCACTTTCTACATCTCCCTGGAAGACCGTCTGAGGAGGACGAGAAAGATCTGAGCATTACTGGCACTTTGGGCTGGAGAACCATCAATTGTTGTTATATTAGCGACAGCTGTATTGGAAGGCCATTTTATTTCTAGAAGCAGCTGTATATGAATTATTTGTCAATTAGATAAACATGCAGATTGCATTGAGTGTATCTGATTTTCAACGTACTATGACTTTATTAAATTGAATTTTGATATTACCGACATTGTTGCATGCTATTTGCATGTTAACATCTACCGTCTAAATCAGTGCTTCCCAAACCTGTTTAGGGAGACATACAAAATGTGCAGGGCAGGGGGTCCTCCAGGACAGGTTTGGGAAGCACTGGTCTAAATGTATTACCTTAAATTTTAATTATGTAAAGGAATAATTCACCCAAAAATGAAAATTTGCAAAACATGCAAAACATTACTATTTATATACTATTTAGAATGGATAGTATGCAAATTAGGATTCTCTTCATCTCTTTCTTTTTTAAACAAAAAAATAAATAAATAAAAAACATGATTTTTTTTTTTTAAACATTCTGTAAATATTTTACAAACAGACTGCTGGATGCATTATATTGTTTCCTCGTTCTCCTGGTATTCCTCGTGTATTCTCTTAAGACTTTTTCAGCTCTGATGAACTCTCGGCTGTAAATTTGTTGCGTGTCGTGTTAAGTACTAATTGTTACTGAATTATTGAGGAGGAGTTGCCCAGCTGAACGTAATGTAATTATCTGCCATGGTTTCAGGGTAAAGTCCTGGCAACTAAAGAGGCTGGCTTCTTTCCAAGCGACGCAGTGAAGCCTTGCCCATGTGTGAGTACAAATACCCGATTATATTATAATGCTAAAATGATTCTCTAATCTCTGCCAAACAAAACAAATATGATCAAGGCAAGGTAGACTTGTCCTTGTGTGCATGTTGTTTTTAAATGGTTTAGGTATGCAAGCACGACTTCAGGGCTGTCTTTGAATGACAGATGCATTGTGGGTGATTGTGTGTTTGTTTACTGCAACACTGGTTTATCTTGTGAATAGTGTGTTATCACATTCTGTCCACATGCCCTGCTATTATTTGCAAGATGATTTACAATCATAATTATGTTCAAGTCATTTTAAGAAAAAGTATGCTAGGTTATCTTTATGAGTGAATTTAGAAAGTTGTGGTTGTAACAAGATACAGTAACTGGGGCAGATGTTAGCACTAATATGAGCTGTATTGTCCCAGACTTGAGCTGTGAGTTAAAAATACTGTATGAAAATCAGGTTGAGTGAAATTTCAAGAACAAAAGCACACATATGTGTGCTCTACTTTCTTTATTTAATCCCGTTTCTTACCTCTTTTTTATCCCTTTCTATTTTTTAGGTACCCAAACCTGTTGACTACTCTTCTCAGCCTTGGTATGATCTTTATTCTCACTACCACAAATGTTATTTATTCATCTACCATCTTTTAATATGAATTGAGAAAACGTTTCATAAGAGCAATATTCCACCCACAACAATATTAATAATTAACAACAACAACAAAACCCAAACAACAATAGAACAACTCTATTGTGTGTGTGTAACTCTATTGTGTGAACAACTATGGTATGTGTGTTCAAGCGCAAGGCCGAAAGACAAAAGCTGCCCTGTGAGATGCCATTTTTTTCAGTGATTTTAGATGGTCCTGTGTGCTTTCTCTCTAAAAAATGTGAGCTCGTAACTTTTAATCCAAGGACTAATGGAGACGCCCCACCCCTCACTATCGACCCCTTCTCCCTGCATGAAAAGCTCTTTGCCCCATGCATTACTATGGCAGCTCCCCATAGGGGATAGGCAGCATCGATCGCAATGATCACCAGAAAATTACTCTCATCATTTATTCATGGCCCACAGGTACAACAACGACGTGAAACACATCAAGATCTTAACAAAGGAGGGACTCTTCCACATTGCAGAAAACAGGAAGTTCAGAAGCATTTTAGTAAGTGCTAATGTTTTGTGCCAGAATATTATTAAAACGTCTTTATCATATAGAGTGAAAAGTAAATGTTACGCTCATATGTTTTTAAGGTCGGCGCAATAAAGATAAATGCTTGCATTATACCAGCTTATTACGTTTGGAATCTCTTTGTATCATTTCTACGATCCCTTTTGTTTTGTCATCTGTTTGCCTTCTAAAGGGCATTAGGAAATCACGCTGCTTAATGTCTCTATTTTGCAGAAAAATCAAATGTCTTTTGTCAGCTTCTTTTTGAAAGCGCTTTTAGATTCGATCTCGCAAATGCCAGTTAAATAACATTATTGGATTGCGAATGCTGGAGTCATATTGAATCCGTTCATATATTTATTTTTTATTTTCCCTTTTATGTGAACTGACATCATGTTGAGCATATGTGTGTGTTTAATGCAGGAGCTGATCGAGTATTACAAACATCACTCTCTGCGGGAAGGATTCAGGACACTTGATACCACGCTGCAGTTCGCCTACCGAGAGCCGGAGAATGGAGCCAACAGTACGTACTGCGCTAACAAAAACAGAGATTCCTAGTTGCAGATTCACACGAACAACTCAGAAATAACAAAACATGCGCTTGTTATATTTATCACAAAAGCCTCAGGGTGTTTGTTTAATCTTAGTTTGAGTATTGAGTGATTCATGATGTTCTTGATTTTGTGTTCAATAGTTCAAAACACGTGACATTGTTGTGATGGACAGTAGCTATGGTCACCAGGGCAGTTGCTATGGTAGCAGTGTTTCTTCATTGAAAGTCTTTGAGCTCTTTGATGCGGATTTGAGACAAAATCTTCACTTGTGTTCTCAGGTGTCTTGATGTTTAGCAATATGATGTCTCTTAGTGTTTTTCGTAACCAGAAGGTAAAATTCATGAATTGTACATGAACTAGTATAGCACAAATACTTCTAAGTATGCCTGATTTCAGCTTTGATATATATAATATGGCAGCGGCTAGTAAATAAAGTAATATTTACACTAAGTGAAAATAGCATATTTTCTTAGCGATAGATGCTATTGACACTAAGTGCAAATAGCTGTAGATTCTATTTACACTAAAATAGCAGTATTTTCTGCTATTTATACTACTTATTACAAATAGTGGCAATTATCTTCACCTCAGTATTGTAGTACATTATAAAACAGTATGTAATAACATATTGAGTGTAAATTATAATTTTAATTTTAATTATTAAATGGATGCCACTTTATTGGGACAATATAAGCCCTCTCTACACCTACCCTAATCCTACCCGATACTTTTTCAACTTTTTGATTATTTTCTTTCCTTTCCGATGTGATGAGATTTGAAAAGGGAGAAAAAAAAAGTTCGGCAAAAGGCGGATTCGCACTCCGATATATACACTCCAAAAAAAATATATTATGTGTTATATTATTTTTATTTTTATTTATTTTAGTGAATTATAAATTGTATATATAAATATAGCACAAATGGAAAGTCTGCAGGACTCATTTTTTAGTTAAAAACTGGATTTATATGCTTGCAGCATTAGCTAAACATTTACGTCAGCTTTTGCATACTTCCACTTGACTATGTTTCTGGCCAAAGAAGTTTTAGACATCTTCTGTCTGTTCATGGCTTTGTGATAATGAAAGCTCCTTAGACATCTCTGTTGTTCTCCAGTTATGAGAGAGGAACGAGTTAAAAACCTCAAACGTGGGCTATTAGTAAAACCCTGAACTACTGAGCTGTGCTTACAGCCTGATCTGAGAGTTTATGGCGCATTGCAATCAGTGCTTAGATGAGATTTTATTGTAGCTCCATATGTCACAGCGAGGGTCTCATCGCAATTGGGAAATGTCGGCAGATTGAGAAGCTGGGGGGACGTCACTCAAACACTTCACTGCTTTAACAAAGCAACTCTGACCAAATAATGGATTCCCCAGCAAGCATTGCTGCTGTTTTCCCTCCTTTTACCTCCAAGGTCCATTTCCATGCAGCATAGATTCTTTTCATTTTTTACATCTCAGCGTCTGCTTACGTGCCAATAAATGCAAATTACATGCAATTGTTTTTGAGACGACTGCCAGAGGCACACAAGTCTTTCATGTAAACCTAGCAGACGGGGAACGCCACATACAGAGCATCAGGGGCATCTACTCTAAGTGTAAACTTGAACCTGCGTAGGCAGCGTACAGCAAGAGAAAAAAAACAACATTGCAGAACGGAAGCAGTCTGTACAGTGTGACCTCCAATGTTCTTGTTGGACACAGAAATAATCGTGGCTTTAATTCGCAGGTGAAGGGAGAACAAATTGCTTGATGGTTGCCCCTTCCTTCCTCATATTTATTTATATCCAGGATGCTGTCAGCTCTGATGCGTTTCTACTTATATTCCATCGAATGTGAAGCGAGGCACACGGGTTGGACGGCAAATCCATAACCCTGAATATTTACGTTATGGATAACGACGTGCTGAAGACAGGAGGTTTGAGCCTGGCAGAGTTTGCAGAATAGTGGGCGGATGGGTGTTTGGTTCTCCTGGAGTGACGTGGGTGGAATCTCAAGTGCCCGTTAGCGGCTCGGACATCACAGCTTGGGTAGTGGTCAGAGACAAGGCCTTTTGAAGACACACAGTATGTGCTCCTGCATAAATTCATGAGCTCGGTTAGCCTCAGCTTGGGTTGTCCCTTCAAAACTTTGAACAGATGTTTAAGAAAGACATGAGATGCTTCTGAACCCAGTCAGAGTTGAATCGCTTGCTAGAGAATGAACAGACGAGTCAGAGGGAAAATAAAGAATGTGAAGTTACAGGAAGAGGAAAATCAATCATGAATTTAAAATTGACCCAATTTATATTCTTAAAATATTTTTATATCTTACTGTGGATGAAGCTCCACCTCTGAAATTATTATTATTTTAGCACTATTTTTATTAAATGAAAATTGATCTAGAGGTACTATTTTTAGTCATTATGCTCCAAAAATGTGGAACCTTTTAAAAAGTAGGCCAGGAACACATGCTAAAACAACGGTTAAGCCTAACGCTCCATACACACTCCTAATCATCAGATTGTTCAGTGTTCATTGACGTGTTGTTAGTTACACAGCTTTCAAACATATTGTGTTCCTGACACACTGGGGGTCCATGATGCTCTGAGCCGAGCCGGTCAGATGGAGCATCAGATGGTGAGGGGAACTCGCTTCACTGCCACAGTCGAGCACAGACGCTCCTGGAGTTTTAGTAAACACAAACCTTACCGATAGTTCTCGGTGGAACGGGACATAAATATAAACATATTCCAGAGCTGACATTTGTGTTCTACTGGTGGGAATCTCTTAGGCTGTGTTCACAATGTCATTCCAGATCTGTATATTTCTGTATCCGATTGGAATCTGATCAAAATAATTAAATATCCACACTGTGTATCAAAACTGACTAGATCCGATTTGTGGTGCTCTTTCGTTTTCTGAAATATCTGCATTGGTTTCTATGGAAATTACGTTGTGTTGGTATGTCTACGCCAAAAAAAACAACAACAGCATCATAGCAATATAGATGTTGTCTTACAGCATGACAATATGTAGCCACTGCGCTGAACTGCAATGCCTTATTAGGCAACGGCACAAATGTAGAAGATATTCACACTGTCAGTCCAAATCTGATAATTTTTGTGTTTGATTGGGATCTGATTTAAATAATTGAATGCCCATATTGTGTATTGCAACTGTTTAGAACAGATTTGTGTGTACCTTGGTGCTGCTTTATTCTCTGCTGTGTCCATCAGTCTCAATATTCAAAGAGGTTTCATGTTATTTTTTGTTTAAAATAGAGAAATCTTGATCTCAAAATCGGAATCTTGAAATTGGAATCTCCCACGATTCCGAATAGACAACAGAACAAAATAACTTACTAATAATTTACTAGAGGGTCTGACAAAATGTTAATCGCTGCAGTCTATTTAAAAAAAAATATATAATTAATTTGAATGCATTGTTAAGAAAAAAGATTGAATGAAAGATTCAATGACTCAGTCATAAACACTTCACTTGTTTCATGACTGGATGAATCGGCATTTTTGAACAAATCTCTTGAATGAATAATTCAATGACTCCCTCACAAAGACTTCACTTGCTTCATTACTGGACGAATGATTTAATGACAAATGCATTTTTTAACAGTCACTTGTCTCCACCTACTGGTGCAACAGCATAATCAATACAATCTTTATTTAAAGCATCAATTTACTTTCAAATGCTGATTTACTCTTTTTTTGATATATAAACTATACACCTTCATTCAAGTAATTCTTTGAATGTTTGTATTTTGGAATAAGATCGTGTGGTTGTTCGAATCAAGATTGCAATCTTTTAACAATTAATCGTGCAGCTTTACGCTCAAACTTTGTTAAATATGATCAGATTTGGACTGACAGTCTGAACAAGGCAAGGGCAAGTGTTGATGCAAGAAGTTAGCATTTGTTTACAATCTGCTCTGTTTGCTTGCAAATGTTGCGTTTGACTTAAACATGCTTTTTCTTTTGCTTTTCTTCTCTTTACCCTTGCCCCACCCTTACCTCACTCTGCCTCGCCCCACCACGCCATGCCTCCGCCCACCTCAGCCCCGCTGCTCTGCGGGCTGTCTTTTCTAACTCCCGCCGGCTACAGCTTTGTCCCCCCCTCTACCGCCCCATTCTGGTCAGGTACAGGTACATGTTTTCTTTCTCCATTGGTGTCGTTTTGTCAAGGTCGCAGGAGATCTGAGGCTGCCATGTTTACACGCCACCCCCTGCATTTAAACCTGCCTCCCATCTCATTGTGCGTGTCTGTTTATAGATCATCTCATAGCCGCTATCATCTTCTCTAACGCATACCCGAATGCACCATATGTCCTTTGTCAGCCGCACAACACTGACTGACTGACAATATGACTCATCATTATCTCATTCCTAGCAGTTAGCTTATTAGATCTGACATTACGGGCGGTTTTTGTCAGGGGAGCCGTGATGAAAAGGAAGGAGTCGGGCTAACTTTGTGACATCTCTCTCTCCCTCCTTTACAAACTTCTCACTTTGAGCATGACGGCAGCTAACTGGCAGCCAGTTCTCTGTCTGTACAAGTCTTGCTCACTTTAAAACAGCTGAAGAGAAAGCGTCCTGGCACTGAGGCGGATCTCATCAACACACGTCTGGCGGGAGACCTAGCTTCTCTGGCTGCTGTTCACAAAGTCCTCAGAGCCTCTGAAGTCCGATAAAACAAAGGCTCATTTGAATCCGCCACCACGTATTTCCCTCGGCCCACCGCATTTAGAAAGAACCGCCAAACGGGTCCAACAAAACGTCAGTGAGCTGCTAGAAGTAACATGATGTGTTTTTGAGGGAAAAGTCGTCTGAAATGTAATTAACCCAGTGGATTATGCTGTTGACACATCTCGAGACATAATCAAAACAGCCACTTCAGCTGTGATTGGACCCGTCCCAGATTCACGAGAATCATTTATTTAGAGTGGATGTGCTAAGGCAGGCAAACACATGAAGGAGTACTGTGATTACAAGAGTCCTTAGGGAGCCTGACTCCATGCATCCATCCTCTCTTTGTTTGTCTGGTTAATTTTGTCAGATTCTCATCTTCCTTTTTGTCCTGTGATGTTTGCTTCACTCTTTTTTCTTGTCTCTACAGTGTTCACTCCTAAGGTGATGGGTGTGGCGATCGCCCGCTACGACTTCAGCTCTCGGGACACGCGGGAACTGTCTCTGCAGGAGGGCGATGTGGTGAAGATCTACAGCAAAACTGGAGCCAATGGCTGGTGGAGGGGTGAAGTCAATGGACGGGTGAGTGTGTTTGTAGATGTAATAGGATGCATACTAGCTTACTGCATACTGCATATTATATACTGCATAAATAGTATGTGACGCATATTACGCAATGATAGATGTTTCAAACAGTGTTTTACGAATTTGTGACAGTTTCATGTTATGGCATGTTTAGTTGATCGTGTCGTATCACATTATCGTCATGGAAAAAAATGCTTTTTTGCATTTTAAAGTAAATTTTGTTAAATTAAAAAAAAATCTAAAAACAAAATTAAAAAAACTTCTTATATGTTAGGTAATACACTACAGATTTTGTTTTAAAGAAATGAATGCTTTTATTCAGCAAGGATGCATTCAATTGATTAAATTGACATTAAATACATTTTATAATTTAACAAAATATTTTTATTTCAAATAAATGCTGTTCTTTGAAACGTTCTATTTATTAATGTGCTCAAGCTAGTTATCATCTATCCCGTTTCCGCAAAATACTAAGCAGCATAACTCTTTTCAACATGGATAATAACAAGAAATGTTTCTTGAGCAGCAATCAGCATATTAGAATGATTTCTGAATGATCATGCGACTCTGAAGACTGGAGTAATGATGCTGAAAATTCAGCTTTGTATCACAGGAATAAATTACATTATAAAAGATATCAAAATAGAAAATTTAAATTGTAATAATATTTAACGATATTACAATTTTACTGTATTTTTGAACAAATATCAAATAAATGATTAAAACATAAGAGACTACTTTGAAAAAATATCAAAAATCTTACCAACCTCAAATCTTTTAATGGTAATCTATGTTAAAAATTATGGATGTTTTTACTTCCAATTAATTTGTCACATTGGACAGAACAGAAGGTCAGAGGGAACGCATTGCATCTCGTGAATTGCTAAATATAATTTGCTTTACAATATTAGTTTAATATATTTAATATTTAGTGGAGGTATATTTAAATTATTTAATGTTTTTAAATATATAAAAACAATATAATGTATAATGTCTATTTTAAAATATAAAGTGCTTTCAGTGCACAGTCACAGAGCAACTGCTTACTGTAAATAAATGTGAAAGTACTGTCTGTTTATACTGTCTGTTCATATCATGCTTCTCTTCTCTGATCTGAGAAGACAGACATCCTGTTAAGAATGACAGAAAACTGAAAATGTGGCATCGCTATCGAATTAAGCGGCATTATTTCATACTGAGCCCAAAAGCTTATTTTTACTTAAAGCGCATCGAACTGTCAAATGCTTTTTGAGCCTCTTGAGCCGTCTTATAATGGTTTCATCAGGGAGGCTGTAAGTGTAATTTAGTGAATAAAACGTTCAGGGCTGTTTTATGGATGCCAGTAATAGATTTTGGGATCAGTGTTTTGAACAGTTCCCCTGACTCCTTCTGAAATGGACAGAACTGCCTTTGTAGCTTTTGTATTCATGTGTTGCCTTCGTGCGCGTGAGCGAGGTGTGACACGATAAAACGTCAACCAATAAATCACATCTCTCCCTTGTTAATCTGCGTTTTGTCCTAACCAGCTGTGATTGTCAAGAGTGGTGTTTGAAATTATGTTTTGATGGATGCTTGGTTTCTATTTTTGTTGCCTAGTGATGGACAGTCCAGCCTACAGTAAAATCTAATTGGTCCAAATTCCAGCTTCACATAGTTATAGTATTTTGAATATCAAATGCAGGGCTCAATAATAAGAATGGACCCATTAGTTGATCTTGTACATCTATTTTTATGCCTTGCAAAATGTAAATGTTTGGTTTGATCTACAAAATGTAAATTTTTGTTTCAATCTACATTGTTTTTGCAAATTATGCTGACGTTTTATATTATATATTATGCTATTGTTACCAATATATTTTATCCAGCTTACTAACAGATTTTGTTGAATTTGCAAAATGACCTGTGATAGTCTTAGAATAATTTTAGGTGTAATTCACCCTCCCCCCACCTCATTTTTCTTTTGAGGAAAAAAACACACACTTTTTTTATCAAGGAATCATTCACTGAAAATATATATATTTTTAAATTGATATAATAATAATAATAATAATAAGAAGAAGAAGAAGAAGAAGAATATTTTAATAATAATCTTAACATTTTAATAATCATTTTAACATTTTAATAATAATTAAATAATAAAATCATAATAATAGTTTTAACATTTTAATAATAATTAAAAAGTAGAAAAATAAAATAATAATAATAGTTTACTTTTATATATATATATATCACTGTGAGTTTTGCATTTTTATTTAAGTGAGAAATTTAGCTTGACACCTATTTAGGCTGAGATAGTCATAGTAGACCATAGCAGGAACAGGACAAGAATCAACAACAGTTTCTTCCTCTCTCTCCCTCCCTGATTTGGCCGATCAAAGAAAAATAGCTCTGTCATATTGTCCTGCTGGATATTATTGCTCAGGCCCATGTGCAGCCACTGGAAGCGCTTAAACAATCCAGCGCCGACCCTCCTCCCCTCCTCTTGCAGCAGGCGCATCCTCAAAGCAATGAAGTGATGCAAATCCTCTGTAATACCCCCCGCAACCTTCTTCTCTAATCACTCATTCCTTCTGTTCTGTCTCATCCACAGGTGGGCTGGTTCCCCTCCACGTATGTAGAAGAAGGCGAGGAGTGAACGGCTCAGCGATCACGCACAAGAGAAAGGAAACGGAGGGAAAAAATCAGACGGACTGAGTCAGAAAAAGGGCAAGAGATTGGCCGCTCTCTCTGTGTCTTGTTTGTCTATCCTGGAGGACGTGCATGGGGTTTGATAGATGAAGGACTGTCTCTCAGGGAGCAGATTATCAAACACAACCCCAGACCGCATCTTAAAAGACCCTTCCGGGTGCCTGGATGGAGCGTCGCGGGTGAATCTGGGCCTGAGACGGAATGCCGGAATCGGACTGAGGTTATGCCGTGAGCTATTTCTGTGTGCGTGTGGCAGTTTGTCTGCTCATGGGGAAACATGTTTGTCCTGACCTTGCCTGAGTCCTGCTTACCTGCACTATTATTGATGACGCCCCTCCTCGTGTCTGCGCTGCCCCGGAGGTGTTCTCACACACGACCCACAATCCCACCCAGCTATTCTTCTCCGATTAAGATCATAGCTCCCTGCCATGTAGGCTGCGGTAATTGATTGCTGTCTCTTCCTGGTTTCTATCCGACGAAATCTCTCTTATTTTCAGATTTCCACTTTAAAGGAAGGACCGGTTGTTTTGTGTGTTGCGCGCTTATCTCCAGAGATACATTGTGGGCTTGTCACGCCCTGTTTATCTGATTTGCACGCTACCGCATCGTCGGGGAGATGCGCAGCGAGACGTTGACAGGAAACAAAAGGGATCGCGGTGACAGGCCTGTAAACAGCTTTTTCAGCAGGGGCCCACGGCCCCGAAAGCATTGTGTCACCCCATCCAGAAGGGATCCTGCTAGATAGCGCAGACAGTGCCTTCTCAATCAACTAATGAGGGGGATTTACACACATTTGCAAGAAGAACTGACACATTGCGAAACAATGAGCCAGATAATTCTGTTTGAAATCCACCGGTGGATCAGAAGCCTTGAATGTCTCTAGTGGTCGACCGACCGATATGGGTCTGTGTCCGATATCTAAATTGCAGGGTGACCAATACTGTGCAAATATAATATTTCATTAAAAAAAAAATCGATATATATATATATATCTCAATTAGCTCACCACTAGAGTCACTGACAAAATCTTTGGCCACGAGTTTGTAAGTCATTTCTTCATTGCATCAAAATAGGACATTTTTCTGTGCTGTTGGATGGGATATTGGCTGTTTTCACGTCCTGCTTCATTTCCCTTTGGGACTCATTCTTACAAGATGTTCCAGTGCTGTAACGCACTAGGCCTGTCTGCAGCTACATGTAGATCTGCGTGCAATCTGAACTGGCTCTAAACTGTGATGAAATTAAGTTTTCAGCACGTTTAGACTGAGTTGAGGTGACAGACTCTATAATCGGAGAAAGGTCACATCAGGAAACAGTCAAAGCGCTGGTTTGTCTCAAATGGTTAGATTAAAGTGCACTCACAAAGGAATATTTATTTATTTGTGATCTAAGAAGAGACTTTGACAGTAAAAGACATTCAAAAGGAATACGGACAAATGACTGAAAAGCTTCAAGCCAGTAGAGAACAGAAATACACTCCTATGTGCCTATAAAGCAGTCCAATGTAAAGCGTCTCCATTTATATCTGGCTGTTCTTTCTTCACGTTATGCTTTGATTGAACATAAAGACGGATCTTTTTATTGTTTTACTTTTTCGTCTTCCCAAAGAGCTATATAATGTATTGAAAAAAATCTTCAGGAGTTGTCACATGAGCAAGATTTTTTTTTTCATTCCTGTAAAATGACAAACTATATGTAGAGTAAAAAGGTAAATATTTATTGATATATAGGTCTTTATCTGTGTTATAATTAATTTATAATGTGAATAAGGTATTGATCAGTCTCGTTGTGTGAACTCTGTCTCAATGTAGCACAGTGTAACACCACTAAGTGGCAGCAGCATTACCAGGTGCTTCTCTCTCTTCATCCTCATCTTCATCTTATGAGCTTATAGTTCCTTTTTTATCATCATTGCACTTTCCCAGTCATCATAATGCTGCCTTCAAATCCAGGAACATTTGTATTTATGAACTTTTACACCTCCACATTTTTTTTGCAAACCTGAAATTTGCAAAAAAATTTCATGATTTCGTTTTAGCTTAAATTGCATACAAAATCATAGTCAACATTCAACATGCTCAATACAATACTACAGCAGCTTTCACCATGATCCATTAATTAACATTCAGCAATTCTGTGCTCAAAGTTTCCCACCTAATAACTTTGATGTACGCTCAACTCATAAATACGATCATCCTGACATGATTTAAAGGCAGCATAAGGCCCAGTGATATTTAAAGATTCAGTATTTTTCCTGTGATGCCGTATAAGTTCTTTCCTCTCTGAGAGGAAGCGCTGTTATGTCACAGAGGATTCGAGTAGATTAACTTCTCATTAGGAAAATCACATTTACCAGCTGTTTACGGCACAGTCAGAAATCGCCTCTACCTCTCCCTCCCTTTATTTCTAAAGGTTAAAGGTCGGTTTTAGCATTGCCATTTTTTTTCTTTCGGGCATCGACTGAAAGAGGATTTTTGGTCTGGCACCGAAATCTGGGGCGAAATCCATGCCCGAGGCAGATTATGGTCTTCTCCTGGGTGCACGGTTCCCTACACTCTAACTGCGAGCGGTAGAATTGGTTTTCTAAGCTTTCTCACCGGTAATCTGTTCCCACTCCTCTCTCCCCAGAGATGAACCCTGACAGGACGGATTTAACAGGCTTCCACACATCGTTATATATTTATATACGGCAGAGTCTGTTTCAACACAGAGTTGTGGGCCACTAATCACCCAGCGATCTCTAACTTCGAAGGAAAGGGATTTCTGCCTCTATTTCCTCTCTCACAAGGTTTTCTCCACTCATACCTTCATAATCATATTCTCCACTCTTTATCGAGATGTCTATTAAACTTTTGTATGTAATGCTGAGGGTGTCCTGTGGGCATACAATTAAGTCAACAAATATTTGCAGTGTTGAGAGTCTCTAAATGTATCATGCTTAAACCGTACTGTCTTTTTAGTCATATTTTTTGTGTAATAATTGCATTTGTGGCATTTTGCGACAATTTCTGGGGCTATTAAATGAGCAAAAAGCCATATTTACTGTATGTAAGCAACCTTGAGTAACAGAAAGCCGGTACTCTGAGGGCTCATGGGTAATGATCTGTTGTCCACTCAAGCCAAAGACAAGCCTGGCCACAGTGGCCTAACCTGTAGCAGTGCAATCCGAGTGTCCTGCAGCGCCACCTAGCTGCTGTATCACACTTCAACTGTATATATGTACAGAAAGTTACAATAAAATGTATATTGCTTCTTTTTGCAAATTGTTTCGCAGTCTTTTGTGTAGAAAAACTTGGAGTGAGATGCCGTACAAATGGTTGGTGTCAGGGCTGGTTAATCTGGCTAATCAAATAATGAAAATAGAGTCAAAGTGCCAATTAACTCAAAACTAAAAGGAATTGGGGAAATAATATGAACTGTTTGCTTTTAATAATATGTGACCCTGGAACACAAAACCAGTCATAAGGGTCAATTTCTCAAAATTGAGATTTATACATAATCTGAAAGCTGAATAAGCTTTCATTGATGTATGGTTTGTTAGGATAGGACAATATTTGCCAGAGATACAACTATTTGAAAATCTGGAATCTGAGGGTGCAAAAAAAATCAAAATACTGAGAAAATCGCCTTTAAAGTTGTTGTTGTAAATGAAGTTCTTAACAATGCATATTACTAATCAAAAATTAAGTTTTGATATATTTACGGTAGGAAATTTACAAAATATCTTCATGGAACATGATCTTTACTTAATATCCTAATGATTTTTGGCATAAAAGAAAAATCGATAATTTTGACCCATACAATGTATTTTTGGCTATTGCTACAAATATACCCCAGCGACTTAAGACTGCTTTTGTGCTCCAGGGTTACATATAATCAAAAGTGTCCAATGGTTTGTTAAACCCACTCTTAAATATTCACTATATATTTCCACTGATGTACATAGAACTATAACAAATCATTATTTGCCTAACGAATTAAAATCAATATTTTATGACTTACTTTGCACTTTAATTCTTATACTGAACCTCCACGTGGGAGCAGTGTTACTTTAGTATTATTTATATACTATTATAATAGTTTTTTATTAGTATTTCGAAGTAGCTTTAATTTTCAGTTTCCAAATATTTTCAGTTTTGTGAAATATTTCTTGATTTGTTTTAAAATCTTACTGTGTAGGTTTAATTTATTTTAATTCAGTCTTAATTTTATTTGTTTTAATTTTTTTAAAAACTTACATTTTTTCAATTAGTTGCAACGGCAACATCAAATTTTCATTTAGTTTAGGTTTTATCTAATATACATGTTTTATTTTATTAATTCAGCAAAAAAATGTTTTCAATAGTTTTAGTTTTATTAAACGATAACTTGGAGTTTCTAGTTTTAGTGTATTGTTTATAAACTATCCTAGTTTAATATTTTGAATTAGCATGGAATTTGGTTTTCATTATAATTTTATATATTTTAGTCATTTATCATGTTATTATTTAATTCTAAACATTAATGTTTATTTTTTTATTTCAGTTTTATGCATGCATGCATGCATGTATTTATTTTAAGTTAGTTGCTGCATCAAGTTTTCATTTTGTGTTTTTTTTTTATCTAAAATTTGTATTTTATTTTATTTCATCTTATTTCAATTAACATTTCAGTTTTATGCATGCATGCATGCATGTATTTATTTTAAGTTAGTTGCTGCATCAAGTTTTCATTTTGTGTTTTTTTTTAATCTAAAATTTGTATTTTATTTTATTTCATCTTATTTCAATTAACAGTTAAATGTGTTGAATTAAATCTGAGTTTCTAGTTTTAGGTAGTGCATCAACAGAATAAATCTTTAATGCACAATGCAAAGTTTCTTGAGACCTTTGTATTTCAGTTGGCTCAAAATAATATGCGTCAGTCCTCAAGGTTGGCAGACTTATGCATTCATGTATGCAGCGAGAAAGAGAACTAAGTTGCTGTCAACTTTTATAATCATCTAGAAGAGTGTACGTGTAAAACAGAGATTAAAACAGTGGCAGTCCCCATCTGTTTGAGCTTATGAGGAGAACACGTTCTGAAGAAGACAATGGGGTCATTCGGCTGGTGATGAGGCGCTCGAGGTGTCTGCTGAGACTCAATCTATCGCCTCAAAGCAATGTGAGTCTGCCCGACCCACCTGCAGAAGAAAGCTGCAGATGAGGATTGATTTACAGAAAACTCATGACCGAGCCCCTTTATCCCCTCTCTCGGCTTCTGAGGTAAATACTCATTTGCTGGTATAAATGTAGAGAAACCAGACTCATCTGTGAAAGCCTAGAACTAAAGCAAGACATGTTAAACCACATCAAAAGTGATATCTATCCACAAAACAAACTGCTTTTGTATACCCACCTCCATCGAGATGAAACCATCTTTGACATTTAACGAAACACACTCTGTTTTTGTGTTTTTCTCATATCGAGTGAGCCGTACCTTTGCCCTTCTTGGTATTTTGATCATTATACAACGATCTGCAGAGGATATTGTTTTTAATAATGGTGCGCCGGTAAAAGCTCATAGTATTTGCTTTCTGCCCAGAGTGACTGGTAGACTTCTCTGTAATGATCCATGTTGGGCAGCGTTTGCGGCAGTGGCCATCTGGGAGCCGTCAGAGGAAAAGGCATAGCCGATGTGTAAATATCAAGCCCTGCGCCCCACATCCACACACCCGCATGCAGTTCCCTGATGCATTAATAGCAGCGTCACTGATTTGAATGCTTTCTTCCATCCTGTGAGCCACTTCAGAAAAATACAACAACTTCTTAATTACATGTTCACCACCGTAGCTGGAAAAATATGAGGTGTAGGATTTCCTTTGTGAAATTTTCTTGCAATTTCTGATTGAAAATCGCTTCAAATAATTACAAAGATACACATTAAACATGAAATTTTGGAGAATAAAGACTTAAATAGTATTCTCTTGTAAAATGTAATGTGTTTTATTTATAACTTTGGAATCAGTTTTTAAAGTGCGCTACTATCACTACTGCTACAACAGATCACAGAGCTCTTATTTTGTTATTTTATGATAATTCTTTTCTCATAGAATGGTTAGGACACTATCATTGTGTACTTTTTTATTCAAGTTCACTACTGCATCAACAACAGCTGTGAGAACCAATGAGGTTTGTTCGCGGTTGTTTCTCATATAAGTCTCATATAACTCACTTATATGAGTTGTTTCTCAACATGAGTTGTTCGGTCCATTGTCAGGCTTTACCGGTGTGATGCTTTGCAGTCTGTCTCAAGATTTTCTGTATTTTAGCATGACCCGAGCACAAATATAACTGCATGGGACTGTAATAAACCCTGAGGTCCCCAGGGACGCATTTAATACCGCATCCTCTAAGCTGAGCAACACAGACACGTGGACTTACAGCATGATAGAATTCATCAGAATCCATCAACAGCAGATCTCTGCGTATCACACACCGGCAGAGTCTCGCATCTATCCGGCACTTGAACCCGATAAGATAAGACCATCTCCGCAGTTTTTTAAAAGGAAACTGCTGTCTGCAGCGAGCAGAATCTTGCCAGTGATCTGCTGAAGCTCTCAGTGGAGGGATGTGCCATCTCTCACCCTGCCTTTTACAATGTCTAGTTTTCACGTATCGGCGTGTGAGAAAAGAGATGCTTTCAGTCTGTTCTGCTACCGGATCCTGACATGTGTTGCTCTGCAGAGTCCAGGAAATCTGATTCAAAACATATAGCTATTGACTGGTAATAACATTTACAGGCATTTCAAGTCAGGTTGAAATATTTGTTTCTTGTTCAATACCTTTTCACTCAGAAATGCCTCACATTAAAAAAAGTAAAACAGGCTGTTTTATGATTTAAAACACTAAATATGCACACACAACGGTTCTACGTTGATCTGACAGCTTTATTCATTAGCCATTAAACGTTATGGATCTATAAGTAGTGATAAGAACGCTTTTAACCCTGAGGTTGTCG